TTATATGATATCGATTTAGAAACGAAAGTGAGCAAAAATTCATTGTCAAATTTGTTTTAGAAACGTGTGCAATAAAACTCCAATTACAACCTGAACACTTTCCTACTAATAGATAAGTGCGCACGCGCAAAACCTACCACACTTCTTCAATGAATATTTTCCACTCTCTAAAGTTCTAAAAGTAGGTGTGTTCACAAACATTATATCTTTAGTTCATGTGTTTTATTTATTTGCACTTATATTTAAAATATTGTATTCTGTGACTCAATGGTAAGTTGTAGAAGTTGTGACACTAGAATTCGGAGTTCGACCTCCGCGATAGACATAGGATAGATAGTCCAATGTGAATATTTACGCTAAACTAAGCATGCAGTATATCTAAAACTGTAGAAACATGCGCTAATAGGATATATGGTCTTTAAATCCATATCACTTAATGATTTCTGTACAGCTTATAATGTAGTTAACAAAGTTTGATTATGACACGAATCAGAGTGCTTACCACCAGTACTAGTGGACCTTAACCCTTACATGCTATAGTTTTCTCTAAGTTATCGTGAGACATGCATAAGTTACGAAGTGATTTGGACCGTCATTGATAGTTACCGGAATAAATTAAGCCATTTTAACTAATTGCATGAACTAAATAACGATGTATGAGTAAACCAGGATATATATATATATACATTTGTATTTTGTTAAGAAACTTTCAATATTATCCCTAATATTGTAGGGTTCATGACGTGAAAACTGCAGATATTGGTACCGATACCAGTATCTAGAGTACCACCGTATTTTTAAACAAATGAAACATGCCTCTAAACAACAAAGGTTTAGATTATAGTTTAGATTATCTGAGTCTAATCAGATTAGTAAAGATTCCATTTGCTCTTTTATGTACAGCACATGAAAATTTACAAACAACACATGTTTGTTCCCAAGCGGTCCAAAAGAGCGGGAACGAAAGCCGACAAAGGTTCTTCTTTCTGCTTAACTCCGCTTTTAGCAGCCCACCGTATTCCTTGCAGAAAAAAAAAGAGTGAGAGAGATAAAAAAAAAGAGAGAGAGAGAATAACGATGCTACTGCTGTCTTTTTTTTTACCCTGATAATGATTTTCCCTGTGTTGTGATTGCAAAGTTTTTCGGGACTTGGAAAGCACACAAAAAAAGTTACAAGTACTTTTCTACGTTCACCAGTACTTTCTCGCTTTATTTACATCTTTCTTTAAAAGATGTAGTAACGGTTCTGTTACCTAATGCTGAACAAAATGCAATTTTCCTGTATACTAATCGTATGTAACTTTGCGCGAAATTCAAAACGATTTGTTTGTTTGGAATTAAGCACAAAGCTTACACAATGGGCTATCTGTGCTCTGCTAACCACGGGTATCGAAACCCGGTTTTTAGCGTTGTATGTCCGCAGACACACCGCTGTGCCACTGGGGGGGTCTCATTCAAAACAAACCAAATCATAAAGAATACTAATCGTATAATTCCTGTGCCATCTTTTATGAAAAAAAATAATTAACTAACAAATATAACTGCTCTGCTTTCTTAGCATAAAAAAATTGCCAAAGTAAATTATACTTATGCTGCATGGCAAAGCGGTTAAGGCACTTGACTCGCAATTTGAGTGTCGCGGTTTCGAATCCTCGTCACATCAAATATGCTCGCCCAGGCAGCCGCCGGGGGCGTTATAACGTTACGGTCACTCCTACTGTAGTAGCCCAAGAGTTGGCGGTGGATAGTGATGACTAGCCGCCTTCCCTCAAGTCTTTCACGGCTAAATTAGGGACGGCTAGGCACATAGCCCTCGTGTAGCTTTGCGCGAAATTCAACATAAAACCAAATAATCTTTCAGGTACAAAAGGGGTTATATGCGCTAGCCGGCCCTAAATTTAAACTGATATATTAAAGAGAAGACAACTAGTCAATAACAGCCACAGCAAATTCTTGGGCTACGCTAATGGAATAGTGGAATTTGACCGTCACTATTATAACTCACTTGCGGACCCAAGGTGCAGAGTGATTTTACGGCTTATGGGACGTGAATCGTGTACCCGCTGATTTACAATCCAGCACGCTAACTATTAGGCTACGTCCAGCCATAATTTGAATTAGTCTACCAAAGTAAAAAAAATTCGTTCTAAGCATTATTACAACATTGTACATAGAGAAATATTTTACAATATTTTAGTACAAATTTATTCATATTACGATTATACGAAATGAGCCCTAACGTTCGTCATTTCAAAAGGGAAAAAACAACAAAGAAAAACTTCTAAGGCTGAACAAACATAATGAAATTGACTATCTGAGAAGAACGCTTTCAAACTTAAGCCCCCCAGTGGCACAGCGGTATGTCTGCGGACTTACAACGCTAGAAATCGGGTTTCGATACTCGTGGTGGGCAGAGCACAGATAGCCGTTGTGCAGCTTTGTGCATAATTAAAAAACAAACAAAGAATTCAAACTTAAAAGCAAAAATAATTCAAAATTATGTGACTAAATATATAAAATTAACATATGTATGTGCTAAAAATGAATATTGTGATAATTTATTTTAAGTTACCTGCGTGTATTTTTGATTGGATAACCAATAAGCAATGTAAATCGTAGCTAATGTTTAGATATTTATGAGAAAGTATGTTTGTTAGAAATATTTCAAAACATTATTTTTGTAGTGTTTATAATTCCCCGCTTAAAAGTTTCTGTTTAACTAAGTTTCTATTATTTATTTTAGGTGAGATGAACAACTATTAGCTTTTTTTAACCCGTATATTGTTTCTTTTTCTATTCGTAAATGAAAAAATAAAACCACTTGGGGCCCACATCACAAACACGCATACGCTGTCGATTGATCGGACAGTATTTGCTTTTATCTATAGGTTATCTGTGTTGTGTGTCATGACGAGTATCGAAACCCGGTTTTCAGCGATACGGAGAATAGTAGAAGAGAAAGATTTCCAAGCGCTGTCTTGGAAAACCGTCTTTCGTGACGGACCTTATACTGCTGTAGATGCTATTAAGAAGCTTTTCGTATCCTATGATCCCATTAACTAACATTCAAATGTAACAATGCAACAACAATTGCAGTTAAAATGTGTTCTTACCTTTGCACATATAATAAGCATAGCTATTCACTATACTGAGTATCGGAATAGAACTAGCATAAGATCCAACCAAAATACAGCGATGCTCAAGGCTAGTAGAGGAATTTGTGCAAACAATAATACATAAGTTTATTTACTAAATCTTGAGATCTATTAAGTCCATGAGCCGCAACAATTAAATTTGTACGTTTATTGATTCAATTTTTACAATCCTGTACAAAAACTACCATCCCAAGGTCTCGTTCATCTGATTTCTTTCTCTGAAAATAAAATATCATTTAAGTCAATGTCTTGATAACTGATTACACAGCATTAGGTAAAGCAGCACGAAAATCTTAGCTCAGACAGAAACAAGGAAAAGAAGTATTCATATTAAGTAGGAGTGTAAGCCTTTTAGAGACGTTCGACCATTTCCTTGTGATACCAGTTTTGAAGATAAATAAAGTGACTCACGTGTAAGCCAGCAAAAAAGACCTTGTACAAAAGCATTTACATTGCCAAAGATATTTTTGGCAATAAAGTCGGTAAAAAAAAACGGCCTTTACTCTCCAGATAATAATAATAACTTTATTTCAGCCAACGTTTTATTATTGTGGCTTCATCAGAGTTGGTAGTTCAAGTTCTTGTACTAATATCCCTGATGAAGCCACAATGGTGAAAC